CCTCTGTGTCCACATTACATACAAACATCATGCATTTTGAACTTGTTGTATTTTTTGGTGAAGAAAAGAAGACAAGAAAGAATACCCAATTTTTAAACCCATTTCCGACTGAAGGGTCTTTTGAGGCCCAACTTTGATCTCAGATAGCGGCTAAACGGCTTGCGCTAGAAGCATCAAATTTGGAGACCTTTCCTAAAATGTCTCTGGAAAAGGTTCATATTAGTCTAATTCTAGTAAATTGATGTTTTTTATGTTGCCATGGCAACGGGTTTCTAGCAGGCAGTTTTTTGTAAATAGAAGTAATTTTTGTTTAAATATAAAAGTTTTTTTTGAGTTTTATATTAAATTACACTTCTTTTCCAACATTTATAACATCCTACAAAATTAAATATAAGTTAAATCATTTAATATACATAGAATATGCTAATTTGATGACGTTATTGGTCAAAATCCAATATGGTGGACTATATTATTAGCTCTGACGTCATATGACGTCATAATTACACCAAAGTTATTAAAATTTAATTCTATTACTACACCATTCTCTGAAAACTTGGTAGACATACGATGAGTGCATAAAAACATATAAAAACGGAAATAAGGTAATGTATAAGAACGCCAGTGTATCCATTATGATCGAAAGCCGGCTGGGGTCCGCGCGGACCCCAAAAGAAAATCAGATATAATTTTTTGTATAAATGGTAGAAACGGAGTTTTTTGCACTGTATTGAGAGGCAACTTGTGGGTGACAATTACCTAAAATTTCAGAAAAAAATCTTTAGAAACAAAAAAGATATTACAGAATATATAGTGCTGGGGTCCGCCCCAGGTGTACTGTTTAGGGTTAAATTTAAATAGGCTACAGTAATTTCCTTTCATTTCTTTATGGTTGGTTCTGATTTCTTGCAGAAAACGCAGCATAAGTCGACATGGGACATCCGAATAAGACAACGGAAAGACGTAGGAGACTATGACTTCTGTTAGCTTTCAGAAAAAATGCCAGTAGTTGTTTAAGATACGTAGTACTATAGATACGTAATTACTCACGCTCATATACTCAAGAAAGTACTGAATAAAGAACGAATACGTTCCTTGTAAAACAGATATGTTGTAAGTCTTCTGAGGAATTATTATGTATCGATATTTTATAACTCGGCTCTCAGACGGGGTAAAGTATATAAACAGGAAGGCTTTATCATTATACGAACATCAATCATATTATTGATTTAGTTACAATGTATAAATGTTTGTTTGCACGTATATAAGTATGTTTGTGTGTGTGTGTGTGTGTGTGTGTGTGTGTGTGTGTGTGTGTGTGTGTTTGGGTGTTTGGATAATCACTGTACCTTTAAAAGGTATATACAAAATACAACATGGTGTACTCTGTTTTGCCGATGTATCGGCCCGACCGCGAATTAGATCGCCCGAAGGCCGGAGGAAGATCCGACTCGCGTTAGGGCCGGGACCGAGGTTAATTTATGTTTTACCCAACCAAGAAAACAAACCTTTCAATGCAAAATGCGCCAAAAATTGATATTCCTTTTCCCAAAAACGCAACAACAGCGAGACGGAGATGCAAGGTTTTTGACGCATTTTTTCTGAACTCTACTGGCCTGTTGGAATCTTTTTGCTGAATTTTACTACGCATAAACATTTTAGATGGCCACCCGTTCATAATTCTTTGACCCCTTGGATAAGGTAAGCGTCCCGTTAATATTTCTGCCAAGTTTTACTCTAGATCTTTAAACCCCCAAGAAACCCCTAAAATGTTTTCTTTACCAAATTTCAATATTCATTATCAGATGAAGGCTATATCTTTACTGTATTAAACTGCATAACCTCATAGGAAGGTCTTGTGAATGTTATAGCAAACCTACATCTCAACGTATATATATCACTTTCTTGTGTCCTTGCACAATAACTTATTACGTTTTAGTCAATAAAGTCTTAGTCAAGAGAAAAATTGAGGGAAACCGAGACGAAAGTAACCTCCCCATAACCCATCTCTTAGCAAAAAGAATAGAAAGATATACTGTCCGTTTAGAAAGATATACTGTCCGTTTAAAGTAGCCATCCATGAGCTTCGTTGGTAGCTAAAATATACTAAGTAGAATTCTCAAGTGTCACAGAAAGAGAAATCACAAGCATTTCATATTTTCTCACTGTATTGAGTTGAGTTTGAACATCTGGTATGAAGATTATAATTAGCGATGTTTAAAAAGCTGTCTACAGATTCCATTTGTTGCCAATTAAAAGGGTTGATAATGTCAAAATCATAATAAAAACCTCAATCTGTCCCTAGCAAATATTTGTTTTTATGATCATATTCCAGAGAAAATAAAGGCAAAACGCAAACTCCCGATATTCAAATTTCACTTCATTCTAGTAAAATACAGACGATATGTTTTCTATTGTTAGCTTGAGGCATCCATCTGCAAGTTACTGTAAAGTTTACTTTTCGAATTGATGCAATACGTATCGATGTGATCAACATACTAAAAGGTTATGGCAATTTAGACGAACCGATGACACTGCATCTATTGGATTCAGTCTTTTAAAGACATTTTAAAAGTTACATCCATTCACCGATGTTTGTTTGTCACGTATGACTCTTTGCTGCAATCACCGACGTCACGCCCCGGAAGCTGCAGTAGACGAGTTTCATTTCATGAACAAGGTTTGAGGAGTTTGGGTATGTCCCATGTACTTTGGTGTTGGACATTACCTTTAGAATTTTCGTCAGAGACTGTCGCACAATAAACCTTTAGTCTCCACTAGTACACCAGACTCCGTTACGACTTAATTTGTAACGCTGCTAGGATGAAGGGGGGGGGCAAAAATAACCTAAAATGTTTGCGCTAGAAGCAGCAAACTTGTTTTATTTCTTCTTTAACTCTATTTTGAATTACAATGCATTCGCAAAATATTGTACTTAAAAACCGCATTCAAAATGGCTGGTTTGCATACGAACGGCATGAAAAGAAAATAAAGTTGGAATTTATTTTATATAAATGTTTACCTGGATTACAAAGTTTGTACACTTAATATGATCTGGTTGTTAATTTTTTTCTACGCCTTATAGACCATGCCGCTAGAATCACACGTAAATAAAAGGTTAACTCAATATTTACGATTTTTCTGGGGTATTTGAAATTTTCTCAACATCGTTTTTATTTTCAAAACTGTAATGCAGTACTTCCTTTACTTTTTCTTTTAAATATCTCAACAGTTTATTTGCCTTACAGAAAAAAAACTATTCCGACTAGGCGTTTTTTTGCGTGTCTAGGACGCAGGTGCTGATTTCTATGACCGCCCCCGTATACTCTTAATTACTTTTGATATTGAAATATGTGTGTACGTGTTTGCGTATTTAGGAAGCTCCCATTAGTGATAATATATCACTATTCTTCCTAAAGTCATTTACATTAAGTAAAAAATTATATCATTAACTATTATTTACATACACTTTTAACTACTTTCAAGAAAACTTGTCTCACCAACATATGAATTATGATAATACAATGAACTTCATTGTGTTATATTGTGTTATATCAATAATTAACCACATTGAACAATATTACTTACAAAATGTTAGGCTGTAATATTGAATGATAAGAACGTCGATGTCATTTTGACGCAAATGTGATAGCACCTATGTTTATGTATGTAATAACACTGTTAGTCTTGTAATGTTTAATCCGAAGTAAAACCGTAGCTTATTTATCAAACAAGCATAAGGAGGGTATGGAATGATACAGTAGCGTGTATAGCGCCTGGATACATTTTACCCACTTCATAAAGAATGAAACCCACACAGTTAAGTATTTTAAAGGTGATTTTTTTATTGTGTACGTTCTTGGGTATATGTTTTTACTTCTTGGGTAAATAAGAATGCTGCGTGTTGCCATAGCCAAGCGGAGAGAGTCAATTTCTATTGCCTGTCGGCAAAGGTTTTCAAAACTGATCGAAGTCACAGCTTCTACTTTCAGTAGTCCTGTTCGGGCGATTGTCTTCAATTAGGTGGATGAAGGGCTGCCTGCAAGAATGAACAAAATACGCGTATAATATACCTCTGCAACTAACCTATTTCCAATGGAAATTAAAGAAATCCCGCACACATCTAGATCACGAGTTCAATTCTCAGGAAAATTACTGCAGCACCATACAATGAAAAATGAACATAGAAACATTCTTTATAAATAATAACAGACATACAATTTAAGAATTCATAGTAACGAGTATAATCTATTTTCACGTGTTTTTTTTTCCAGAAAATGATGGAGTTACTTTGTTGAAATGCATCGTAACATTCTATTTTCTGCAAGGTGTTTGCCATCAGGCATGGGATTTTTCTTACCATCGCACTTGGTGACGAGATCAGACCAGATGACGTTCTCCTGGGAGTAACAGTACACCCCCAGGCGGCCTCCGCGGAGAGAGGCGTCCAGAACGTCACCGGAGTCCACCACAAGGAGACTGTCGGAGTACAGACGGAACCTGGACGAAACGAGAATGCGCGAGCTTTTTATCTGGATAGATGATGTTAAGATTTGGAACAGCGGTCGAGTTCTTATATTACCAGTACATGTAGATTACAAAATGTAGCAATTTAGATGCCTTTCGTATAGTATAATGGATTCAGGAATCCATGACTAAGATGATAATGTGATAATATATTTTTCACTCATCTTGTGTTAAAAAAATATTGCCACAGTGAGGCTTACTCAATTTTGTAAGTAGCATAAAGTTAGTTGCCTTGGACAACAAACGTATTTAGCATGGACATGGGCATTTTATTATCAACCCTAAATGTTCTAGATTATAAGAGTAAAGAGGAATAGGATATTTTTTTAACCAAAATAACTGCATGCAGTATAATAACAATATATTTCTAGGATAAGTGTAGTATGCCAGAAATTTGGTAGGCACACTATGTGTAGTTTATATGTTACAGGGGTGAACCTCAAAAGCCGATCTCAAATGGGATTATGTACTGCACGTTACCTGATGAGTCCGATGTCCACCCGGTGCTTCAGCTCCCAGCGGTAGGCGGTGTTGTAGCTCCAGCCGACTTTGCTAGGATCCTCCCACAGCAGCTTGGTCTGAGGTTTAAACACAGAATGTAAAATAGTATTAAGTTTGTTATCAACTCGTTATTGAAAGATCAGTGCTGCCTCATTAGAGCAGTAAATGTTGGTTGAAATAGTTCAAAACGTAATGGTTTAGTCCAATGTCTTCTGTATCCAGTGTTCAAAATCCACAATTACGCTTTATGGAACTATCCATTCAAGCATGAGCTTGAGGTACATACTACCTATTGAAAACAGTTGGATATCTTATTTTTGAGCGCGTGCGTGCGTGCGTGTGTGTGTTTGGGGGGGGGGGTCTTCAATCATGTAATTATATTTAGCAGTTACATGATTGAACAATAATTAACTCACCTGTCCCGGGACCTCCGCACCCTTCCAAAGAGCCAGGGACAGGTCGTCACCAGGTCCGGTAGTCGAGTTCACCAACTAGTGGCAAACAAAATTTAGTTTGACCCTTATTATAAATTGAATTGTTTCTTCTGCCGTAAGTCAATGTGGTTATCATCTTGATTGACTATATTACTAATGTCTAAAAGAAACGGTGTTAATCTTATTGCCTTTGTAACAATAAGCACAACGATACATAACCATGATAATCAATAAATATAGAATACAACACGGGGTGTTTCGTATCGCCCGAGGTGCGAGCCCGACCGCGCGTCGAATCGCCCGACGGCCGAAGGCCTGAGGGACATCCGATCAGCGGGAGTGCTGGGGCCGAGAATAAAACGGAATACACCGTGTTGTATTTTATTTATGTCACACCCACCCAAGAAAAGACAACATGTAATGCTAAATGAGCAAAAAGTTGGTGTCCATTAACCCAAAAGATGCAACAACATTAATTCTAACGTCCAAATTTTGCATTCGAATTTCATTCTAATCGCGGTTAGGGCGAAAGGCGTTCGAATCGTTCTATGGAACATTTGGAAGCCCGGACCGTACCCGTTAAGAACCCCCGGGCCGTACCAATAGTTATCACATGGGCCGGAACACCTGTATCGAACGTAATCGCGGCCCAGGTAGGACATAAAACAGGATACTAGATGTGTATGATTACATATTTACATATGTAAAAACTAGCTAGCCGTAAAACAGCTTGATATATGCGACCTACCCAGATTGCAATTAACAGTTTTACTTTAGACATTAAAAAAAAAGAAAGAAACGTCTACCTTCAGCTGTACCCCCGCCTGTCCATCACTGCTGTCCCCTGCCTGTTTCCAGGACATCAGGTAGAACCGAGAGTTGCTCTGATAGCTGAAGACGAAACCCACAAAGTCGTCATCAACCTGGGTGTTCACAAAGAAGGTTCCACGGTAGTCCACACTGCCGAAGTTGGTCATGCCTGTTAAACGAGTTTGAATCAGAAAAAACAACATCAGAAGATAATGTAATCTATAATGTATAATCAATCTGATGTTTATGGTTGTTACTCGTCGGGGAGGATTATTCATACTTATAAAGAAAATGTAAAATGATTTTTAAAAATAATTTTGGTATAGCCTTCAAGTGTCTTAATTCTTGAAGTTTCCCTGAGTACTACACGGATCTAGGAGTAACTTAGGTACCGCCAAAATAATACAGTAGTTTAAAGAAGTCGCAGAGGTAATTGAATATAGGGTTAATATGTTAATTAATTTTAAACTTTACAATTCAATGTTCGTGACAAAGTTAGCTTACCAATAATGATTCCAGGATCGCTGTTCAGTGTCTGCGTTATCTCAGCGCCCTGTCAGAGAGTTAAAGAAGGCATTATACAAAAAAAGGGCGTATCTTGAATTCATATTAATATGTATTTCTAATTTTTAATTGTATGGACATACAGGTAGAGATGGACGGAGGGAACTGGTTGACCGGTGCACGGGCTTAACGCAATCCTTGCAAGATGAGTTAGTGAGTAATGGCCATAAAATTACGAGAAACAAAAATAAATACCTGATTGAGGAACTCCCATTTTGGCGGGTTGTTGGAGTTGGGTCCCGCGAGGTTGACGGTTCGGTAGTTCCTGAAGTCCGTGCTGCTGATCAGGTTGTTTTCAGGACACACGTCATCAGCGTCTGTCACTCCATCATTGTCAAAGTCAAGTTCACAGACATCACCGATACCGTCACCTGGAAAACATTGGATACAAAATGTACGTTACCAACATGCCCGTAGCCAGGATTTTCATTGTGGGTGGTTTTCTCACTGTTTAAGGGCCAACCCAGCGCCCTTAGTACTAGGCGAGTGCCCAAGAAGGGAGGGTGCTAGCTAGGGGGGGTTGGCGCTCGCCCGGAAAGTTGAACATTCTGAAATGGCATTTCCTGCGTTTCAGAGAGGATTTTAAGGGAAAAATCAGACAAAACTCTTTATTGTATGACAACATGAGCAGTTTTTCTACGATCCCAGTCCCGTTAGTGGTATGAATCAGTCCGAAATCTTGGACCTTTAGATGAAAACTAGACCTTTCAGCCTTGTGTGTGTGTGTGGGGGGGGGTCTTCCCACCCCCACCCCCGGCTACAGGCGTGACGAAAAAACGTTAAGAGAACGCACGACTGGCTCTAAGGTTTTCCTGAAATGCACAAGTACGTACGGACGTTATTAACAGCATCATCCTTTCTAAGTTCAAGTTTTGTGACACATCACTAAGAAAGACTTCAGGCACATAATTGCACGTTCGCCTGTAAGGTACTGATAGACACTTAAGATGAAGCAAGCCATATGTTGCAATATTCTTACCGTCAAAGTCGGCCTGATCCCTGTTTGGAACAAGGCGGCAATTGTCAATATCGTCAGGTACTCGGTCGTTGTCATCGTCAGAATCGCACTCGTTTCCTGCATAGGTAAAATATGATTCAGAACGTTTTACTGACTGTGTTCAGGACATATACCTGTAATTTTTTTTGTCTAAGTAATCTATGTAATTGATATACGTGAATAATCTACATATCAAAATCTTTAATGATATACAGATTTTATTAAACCTTGCCCTGGGGGCATTTTTACACATTATTGTTTTCAATATTTTATGTCTTAATCAGGTCATAGACCCCTGACGTTTTTTGCACTGCGGTGCACGTGGCGTAGTTACTTCCGCATCCGTTGCGTTTCGCTGCAGTGTGATGCGTTGCACGAGAAACACAGTACCAATACAGGTTGCTATATAGATGGTACCGTATGTGCAAAACAACAATTGTTGGGACAAGGGTAGCTTGATACTTATTTACGTATGTTTTAAATTTAAAGTTGGCATGTATTTGAAATAAGAAGGTGGAGCATTAGCACAACCATTGGGTACAATTAGAACGTAATACTTACCACAAGTAAACGAACTTTATGTGTGACGATTAATAGAATTATAAAGATATAACGATACATACCAACAAGCTTGAAGGTGGTTGCCAGGTTATTTTCGTGTTAAAATAAACCCAAGTAACATTAAGATATTACGCTGTTATAGACCATTATAAATCCCTTGTCCTTCGGAGCACAACATTTGTTGTTTTGCACATACAGTATCATCTAATAGTATATAGCACCCTGTATAGGTACGATTTGGGGGTATTTCTCGTGAAACGCATCGCACCGCAGCGATACGCAACGAATGCCTCAGTAACTATGCCACTGCAGGGCAAAACAAAAGGTATCTATGATCTAATTAAGACATGGAATTATTGAAAAACTATTGTGCCAGAATGCAGTAATGCCAGCAGGACAAGGGTAAACATCTTACCTTGTCCATCGTTATCCGTGTCCAGCTGAGCACTGTTCGGCTCCATTCTGCAGTTGTCCAGACTGTCAGGAAAACCGTCGGCATCACTATAAGAAGAAAAAAGAAAATACTTTTACATGATAACGATTGTTAACTAGTCTATCTAACATATTAGAACTAATAATTTCTTATTTCTTGTGCAGTTGTTTTTAGTATTTTTTATTGACTCGCCTGTATTACTTACCTGTCAATACCATTTGCACAGACGTCTCCGATTTGGTTCTGATCTGCATCGACCTAGAGATAGGCACAACGTTTACGTCAGGCTTACGTATGACAAATAAGACACCCTTCTGAAATCTAACGATTGCACAAATAACCAACCTTGCAGAATATTACGGAGGTTACCTGATCGGCGTTCGTAATATGTGGGCAGTTGTCGCAGGCATCTCCTACACTGTCTCCATCAGAATCAGTCTGGTTACTGTTGGGATGCAACGGGCAGTTGTCTTGGATGTCTATGAATCCTACAGATGACATATAGTGCATTCATTTAACATACATCAATTTGGACTATTATAACCCGGGTTTTAAATATTACTTTTTTTAGACTTTACACAGTAAAGTTGTTTTACTTAATAAGCAACCTATTTAGTTTAATACCGTCTTCATCGCTGTCCTGATCACAGACATCTCCCCACCCGTCACTGTCTGTATCTTCCTGGTCAGTGTTGATGTCCACCTGACAGTTGTCACACGCATCACCTACTCCATCACCGTCTGTGTCTGTCTGGTCAGGGTTGGCATGCAGTTGGCAGTTGTCCTGCGAAGACAAAGAAGACACAAAAACATACCTTATATCCAATCCTGTAATCAATTAAAAGGGAAAATGTAGAAAATCACAATCTAAAACTCCATACTACTATGTTTTGTTGAAAAAAATACTCGTAAAGCTTGCATGTTAATTTCCATAATTGTCATTTTAAAATGTTGTACCAATGTATTCAGGAAACCATCGTCGTCTGCATCGTCGTCACAGGCATCTCCTAAACCGTCATCATCAGTGTCCTCTTGTCCACTGTTTGGAGTCACCGGGCAGTTATCCTAGTGACAGTAAAACAGAGACGGAAATGTTGTCAACATATCAAAGGAAATAATAATAAGAAGAAATGTTTTTTATTGGCCAAACAGTACCCGTGCAGTTGCGCCAAACAGTACCCGTGCAGTTGCAGCCTTTATCGTCTGAATTGATGCAGGGTATCACATAATAATTAATACAAATCACAACAATCAAATTATGTACATGATAACACATATTCGCTCCACAATTTTTTTTGGAACTGTCGCAAGGGTCTGTGCGGCTGCCATTCGGCGCCACAAGGTGACCTCAATACGACTTTCCCCAACCGAAGTTAGGTACCCATTTACACCTGGGTGGAGACAGAAAGGTTGTGTAAAGTGCCTTTCCAAAGGGCACAGCATCGGGGTGCATGTCCAGACATGTTCCGGGTACAACCCGCTTCATAGCCGAATGCTCTAACCACTACGCCACCCAACGAAATAAATCGATACTTTGATCGTACTTTGAATTGCAAGATGATTAAATAAAAGATACCTGATAACAAGATGTGTCATTACACGGCAAGGACACGTCCGGGAAACCATCTTGATCACTGTCAACTCCACACGTCAGTCCGTCCTTGGATCCGGTATATCCGACTTCACACTGGAATACATGATATCAAGAGGTGCACATGTAAACGTCGCCGATTGTTGTTGATGAAATTTTATATATGTATTTCTAACATTAACAAAAAATCATCATTATAACCCATTTTGATGCTAAGCTCTTACCTTACAGATTAGTTGTCTCTTCTCGTAAACGCAGCTCGAACAAGGACCAGAACTGCCAACGCAGGCTGTAAAACATGTAAATGCATTTTTAATATAGAAGTTATTTTTTAAGGTATTCAGATATTATTTCGTCTTTTCTTTAATACTTGTCTCGTATCCCAGGCCGTAGTTTACACTCAGTGTGTTAGTATAACTTATGTAGAAAGGCTTACTGAAAATGTGCTTACACAATATGCATTCAGCCACATCCGTAGATCGGGAGAACGCCGTCCAGGTGTTGGCTGGGCAGGCTTTACAGCTGACTTGAGCCGGCTGGTCCTGGTACTGTCCTACCGGGCAGTCCTCACAGCTGTCGGCGGTGGTGTCATGAAACGTACCGCGAGGACAGTCGGCTGTAACAATTAAAACAAAAGGTACAACCAAAAATGAGTTTGCACTCTTACACAAAACTAAATTGAAATCTTTTTAACCTATATCCAACCTTCAAAATATTTTAGTGTTAAACAGTTTTCAGGAGTCAAAGGGAGAATGTTAAGAGGTCTTGTTTACATTGCTTCATTTTTACAGTTTCAACAATAGATCATAAGAATAGCTACAGAGAGATAATACCTATTATATGCGAGTCACAGACGAATACAATTTCCATAGTCCATACTTCATATTCCATTTTTTCTGGTATGCCTCCTTTGGATTTCTTTTCCTTATTACTACATTGCACCACAAATAATATTATCGTAATGGTTAAGTGGTTAGAATTAGTAGCCTCTGTTTTAGGGCTTCTATACATTAATTAATTTAACAGAACAACCTCGGACTACTCATTACTGTTTAGTTTACTGGACTCCTGTAAAAAAACAGTGACTTTCAAAATACACAAATGTACTCACTACAATATGCCTGATAGTTGTCCTTGTACGTGAGCTGTCCACTAGTGCAATTGACGTCCATTTCTGCAAAGCCCATATCGAACGATCCTGCCACAAGTTTCTGTCCTGCGATGACCAGGTTAAAGTCGTCGGTCGACAGTTTACCTTCGATCTCGAAGTAGATGTCGTCCAAGGCAAACACAAGGTCGTACTGTTGATTTTCGGTTACGTTGCTTTGTGAGGTGGTGGCCAACACTTCAAAGTGAATGGTGAACCCATCTGTGGATCTCTTAACCTTTGGGTTGACGAAGGTTCTCTTCTTGCCAATGATGCTTCTACTCTGTCCTCCACAGTCCAGTTCGATGGTCCCCAGCCCAATAGAGATGTCTCCGGCAGACTGACTAGATTGTAGCTGGCTGAAGAGCTGTTGGAAGTTGGCAATGATCTCTTGCATACTACTTTGACAGTCGCCGCCATAGAAGTAGAAGAGATCTCCTTTTACATGAGCTCTCCCTGGACGATATCTCCCTGTAGTAAAAAAAATGCGTTAGATATGCTAATAACAATGCATCCGATATTGACTGACTCCACCAACAATAATTAGTTAATTAATAAAGTGGACATTAATAGATGTTAATAATTAGTTACAAACCTAAGAAATAATAATAACAGATAGTAAAATAATACAGGTTTTTGGAATGTTTGTCATCTTAAAATCATTTTACATGAAACACTGTAAAAGTTGTAGATGGTTGTTTTAAAAAGAAGTAGATGGTTGTTCCTTTTTAAGAAACCTGACTATTCAAGAAATAGAAATCTAGGGCTCTTATAGCACTAGAGGTAACTATGTCAATAAAAATGCAAACCATATAAAGTATAATTTACCTGTACAGTCTGGCCATGGTCGAACGCTGGATGTCAGTGGTTGTGGAGAATTCGAATCTGCAAATACGGCGCTCCAAACACCTAAAACATTTAATCAACTAACGTAAGCTTTCTTTCAAAGAGTTAGACTAAATTACTTTTTTGCCAATGCACCAAATGGGACAAGCCTTTAGCTTTTAACAGCTGTCCATTACCTTGCGCATTGCAGTTGTAGGCATCCGCTGGACGACCTGCAAACTCCCTGTCCCCTTCACAGAACACTGTACAGGTCATTCTGCCAGTTGTGACGTCAGAGGTTGTGCACACTTTGCCACCGTATTGAGGGGAGTCAAAGTCTTCACTGCAAGGGGCTGAAAATAAATTCAGAGCCATTGATTTATGTGTTTGTGCGTCTGTCTGTGTGTCTATAGACACCTTAAATTAAATGACGCAAATAAGTTGACTTGTTAGAATTATTGGATTTTGGGCCCCCTAGCTGCTTCGTATTTTACTGCAGCCGAACTTTCAGTTTTAATATGTCATGACCTAGACATGCTAGGGGCACGAAATGTAGATGACATGTTACTTTTGTGCTAAGAAAGAGGTGACACCCCCTTAGCGGCTTGCTCTGGAACTGCAAGAACGCCTGTTTGATTAGAATTAAAAAAGGGGATAACTCAAGATCCGGTTGAATGATCGTCGTAATTTCTGGTAAGCTTAAGTGATGCTGGACATAAGTATGTGACAATTATGCAAATTTGGCTGTAATTTACATAATTTTTGAATTTCTGTAAATCAGCTGCATTACATAATAGGGCTTTTCGCGGTTGTGGTATATGTACTTGAGAAAGTGGACAGGTTCTGATTATGTAAATTTTAGATTTAATTAGCATAAATAATAAGAAATGTTTTATTTCAACTAGAAAGGCTGACATTTTTTTTGGAGCAAATGTAGCGAATGGCTTAACCAAATGTTACGACATTTCAGGGAAAGAAGGAGGCACACAAGGGAAAACAATAATTTTCATTGATACTCGTATAACTATAGTATGAAGTAACAACAGTTGGATAGCTATCCCCTTGACTATCCCTAGCGTTGTCCTTTTTATAAAGACTAGCAATTGCAAGGAGAAATGTTTTTTCTAACAAATCATGATAACTCACGTGATTGACATCTTTCTCCTTTGTACCCTGCAGGACACTGACAGGATATCGTGTTGTGGCCATCCACACAGGTGCCACCGTTGTCACATGCTCCAAGGAAGCAGTTATTTTCATCTGAATGTATTGATGTTGCAGTCATTAAACATGTCATTCTAAAATATCTGCTTTTGAAACATTTGCCAGTAAACTGTACTTCCTTACCCAAATGTTTTAATGTAGAACCCATTTCTTTGTCATGGTATGACAGATCAAGCCTCTTGTCACTTCATGCAATGCAGACGACACTATGAGGTGTGTCATTGGTTACAAGAAGTCTATTCCTTGACGAAGACTTGGGTTATACATTTAAAAGTTTGGATGCGATAACCTAGGCTGGAAATTACAGTTCAAACGTGTTTTCAACAATGAGTGCAATCGTGATGCGGTGCCTCACAATATGTTTTCTATATCAGTTTAACTTAAATAATTACGATACTCAGAAGTAAATATTGTATGAATAAAGTCGATTTGCGGTGATTTTTCGATCACGTATGTTGTTTATGTTTGGCTTGAACACAAGGTCCGTTCTGAATGCATGAGGGGACTTATTGTGAACCTAGACCTAGTTGCTTATGGATGCTTATCGGATGTGGTCTGTATGATACGAAAGACCATAGGTACACTAATCATTTATTTTTTCTTGTGTGTGTACTTCGAGTTTCTATGAGTATTTCGAGTTTCTATGAGTACTTAGAGTTTCTATGGGTATACTTAGAGTTTCTATGAGTACTTAGAGTCTGTATGGGAACTTAGAGTTTCTATGAGCACTTTTTATGGGAACTTAGAGTTTCTATGAGCACTTTTTATGGGAACTTAGAGTTTCTATGGTACTTAGAGTTTCTGTGAGCACTTCGAGTTTCTATGAGCACTTCAATATCTGTGTTTTTTTTGTGGGTGATAACAATACAATATTAGTTGCATATTCCTGTTAACCCTTCAGGCAACTAATTTTATTTCAAAGCTATTAAAAAGATGGCATACTTTTTATATTTCAAAAGTTTTTCTGCTTACGATGTTCAACACGTTTGTTAATAGGTGAAATTAAATTTTGGCATAGATTATGTTAATGACCCTGAGTACTACACAGAAACTACAAATATGTGCAAACAAGTAAATTGGACCATCTACTATAATGACGTGCCTCTGACTTCACGTTCCAAGAGTAGACGAGTCATTTTCGTGGACAAGTTGACGCAGGCAGCCGAAAGTTTGAGTAAGTGGCAATTAATTCTAGTGTTGTTTAGTCTAGTGTTTCTAAGTTTAGTTTTTTTTTAAATTCTATTCAGAGTCAGAGAAATCTCTGGTTGCAAATAAAAACATTTACATACCTGTCTGACAGTTGGCACCTGTCCATCCAGATGGGCAGTCACAGCGGTACTCGTTGATGAGGTTAAGGCATGTTCCGTTATTCTGACAAGGTGAGCTGGAACACTCGTCGACATCTAGGATACGGAAATGATTTATTGAGTTAACTCAAGTTTAAACACAGGTGTGAATAGAATAATAGACACCTTTTCATGGTGCCATGACGCATCTTTTTACTATTCAACTACACAAATATCAAAGGATCTGCTTCTTTCTGGACGTCACAAAATCTGACAAACAATAATCCTCAATTTCTAAGTCTATCTAGGTGGTGTTAATGCAGGGAGATAAATTTTAAAGCAAGGTTAACCCTGACTACGTAGTTTACAATATGCCAGAAAGAAAACATTGGCACCGAAACATTCGTCTCCGTTATTGCTCTTGCCTCCTATCCCCTAGTCTCCAATACAACCTAAACGGTTTGCAGATACTACGGAACAAGGTGGCTAAGTAATAGTTGCATATTGTAGGTATTACGATACGTCTTCATACGTCTAATGTGTAACCAAACTTGTAATGGATAGTGTGTGCTTTCACGACTCCCTAAAGAGTTTAGTATATGTATATACTTACTAATGGAGGTCAATCGAATAAAAAATAGATAAATAGGATATTAAATCGTGTTTCATTGAGGATGTTAGGAAAGGCCGTTATTATGTATGATAATTATTCTTGTTGAAGAGATTCATTTGTCACGTATAGATACAGTTCCTAGTGAATTCTTTCATCAGTGACAACTTTGGAAGGATAAGGATACTAACCTCCAAATTTTCGATGGCTATCAGTCCATCTTGTTCACGGAGTGGCCTAATCTCGCGAGAGCGCGAGACTAGGCCCGAGACTTGCATCGGTCTGTCATTACACCAGAAAGACTGCAAATCTGCGTTAAGTCAACACCAACTCCAGGCTGGTCACAACATCACTACCAGGCCCATCTCTGACATTATTGAAATCATAGATCAAGAGTCTCGTAACCCACATAGGAAGATTAAGGAAGCGGTGCACATTCAGTTGGAAGGTGCCAAGCTAAACCGGACAGAAGGTTGGGAGCTCCCCAAGACTTACTTACCCTTACTTCGGAGGGAGGCGACGGGGGGTGGGACCCGACAGACCGATGCAAGTCTCGGGCCTAGTCTCGCGCTCTCGCGAGATTAGGCCACTCCGTGAACAAGATGGACTGATAGCCATCGAAAATTTGGAGGTTAGTATCCTTATCCTTCCAAAGTTGTCACTGATGAAAGAATTCACTAGGAACCGATAATTATTCTGCCTTGATGTAGACTGATTGAAAGTAGTTGCATCTCTAGTTGTTGTGAAAAGCCGTTCTTACCGGTACAGTAGATTGATCCTGAAAGTTGATATCCAGGCTGGCAGGCACAGGTGTAACTGCCAGCTGTATTGTGACAGTTGTGTTCACAGCCGCCGTTGTTACTGGAACACTCGTCGTTGTCTTGACAGTTTGTTCGAAGAAAAGAAAATCACTGATTAGCTTCAAATCTAACTAAATCCAAAATATTTAACCAAGACGTACGGTAACTTTATCATTAGAACACTTTACCGAAATAGCCAGCTTATTTATTATTTAATTACTGTCCTGATAGCTATAACAATCTAGTAACATTTATAGTGGGGTCGTGTGGCGTCGCGTCGCGGCAGAGTTCCGGGTTCGAGTCCTCACATGCCACCGATCTCGGAAAAGGCACTTTACACAACTTTCCTCACTTAGCTCAGGTAAAAATAAGTATTGTCCTGTCATGTATTTGTCCCCTGTGTTGTGGCGGCATTAATATAAGTTGGAACAACTTGAGTGTGCCGTCACCACGTCTTGTGATTATATGTTGGAATAAAAAAAAATCTAGTAACATTCACTGCTTTGTTTTAAGGATGTGTTTGCATGTTATGATAAAGACAGCGTGGTTACCTGTACAGTCGGTACCTTGGTATCCAGGGCAGCATCTGTGGCACGTTCTGTACCCTGTGGTATATTGGGTCCTGAAACATGTTAACATGTGAGCATTATGTAAATTTGTGTGCAATCTTTTCCAATGCATTCATCCATGCTCGTTTTGAAAGTAATGTACAGACAAAACCGGTCGTGACAATCAAAATCATCAATTAGTAAGTTACGACGATTTTACAGCGGGCGCTTGGCAAAAATCAGCAATTGCTAATCCTGAGAGAAAGTTTAAGGATGAAACCAATGTCACGACATCAAAATATTTACGGATAATTTAAACAATTGATGAAACGTATAAAATGTCTATAGGAATGACTTAAAAAGGATGTAAGACAAGCTGTATCTTAATGTTGCTTCAAGTCTGTAAAAAGTATGTGCAAAATATCTACATAGCTTGTACAACCTACAACAAACGCTTGGTCAAACATAAAGGTCCTTTCAAATTAAACTGCTTGAATTTCTCAAATTATTTAAGAAAATATCACCTGTATCTGGTACATCTGCCCCATCCTAAAAATCCGCAGGGTATGGAAAACTGGTGGAAATAGCTCTGTGCGTATGAACACTGGTACGGTACAAAACATTGAGAGCATCTGAAAGGAAGAACGTCAGTAAAAGCACATCATGTAGAAGCTAACTGTGTGACGAAAACAAACACCCATTCACATGTAGAATGTATGTCTTGTTACTGTTGTGTTAATTCCTATATTACATCATCCAAAAGAAAATGCTGACTATTTTTATTTTTTTCCGCTGGAGTGTTGAAATAGGTTCCCTACAATGTCCGTAACTGTCTTTAACTGAAATTGACAGAGATACCAAATTATATTTTATACAAATTTGCATGGTTGAGAAATGAGTTATTCAGTTTTAAAATGATGATAAATCCATGCCTGCCTCATGTAAAAGTTGAATTAAGTTAAACATTCAACATGTTAGACATAAATCATGCAAATCAGGGGCTAATATACATAGTTCTTAAGCAATTGGTACAATATCTGTCTGTTTATTTATTTTGTATACAATTTGGCGTGGCGATACATATAGCTCATGTCCTCTTCAGCCACGCAAAGTCATTACAATTACAATTAAGGGGATGGTGCACTGTTAACTATTTTATATATTTTCAATGCCATGCATATACACTTTTTCATTCCTTCTTATGTACGCGTCTCTTTTTTTTCCTTAAAATGAGAATACAATTACATACCGTGTTCCGGGTATCGCAGCAAAAATGCCAAGGCAGACAAAGATAATGGACAAGACCATCATGCTGGTTCTCAAAATCGCTGAAAAAATCGCTGAAAAAATGCAGAAGCTTATAAAGATTTTAAGAGAAGATGTCTCTAACTTGAAGGCATCCAATGCAGTTTTTAGGGCTTGGAAACACGATTTTTAAAGTCAATATTCTAGTCATCTATCTACATAGTGAGTTAAAACATTAGTACAACTGACAACACTCAGGCCCACACAGGACAAGCAGAGAAACTTCTGTGCCCAATGGATAGCCACGGGTTATCCCAAACAATGCAAGATCCAACTAGAAATGGTTTATGGATCTGGCTTTGGTTACTAACCCCAATATGATTGAAAAGACTACAGTTGTCCCGGGAAGAAGTGACCATGACATGGTTATGGTGGATGCTAACTTGGCACCGAAGCAAAGCAAAAAAATCCAAGAGAAAAGTTTACATTCGCACAAAAGCTGATGAACCAGCCATCAAGAAAGATCTCACGGACTATGCAAATAACTTTGACAAAAGAACAGAGGACATGTCAGTATCACAGAAGTGGACAGATTTCAAAGACAAGAACATACTATGAACAGGCACATCCCAAGCAAAATGACTTTAAGCAGGTACAGCCTGTCCTGTTTTAACAGAAATCTAAGGCGACATTGTCGTAAGAAACATCGCCTTTATAACAAAGCTAAAACAAACAGGACAAGACCAAGACTGGAACAAATATAAGAGAGTTAAAAAGGGAGGGTAAAGAAAAGCATAAATCAAGCACACTCAAAATATGTGGCAGATATACTGGGAGAAGCTATAGTTGACAAACCCAAAACATTCTGGTCGTACATAAAATTACTGAGGAGAGAACTTATCGGGGTTGCACCCCTAAATGTGGGAAATACCATTATCAGTGACAATAGGGAAAAAGCAGAAGTACTCAGGTCACAATTCAAAAGCGTTTTCACTGAAGAAGAAACAACAGATATGCCATCTCTGAGTCAGCCATATACTCCCCCCATGGAAGACATAGAAGTTTCTATTGGTGGCGTGGAAAAAATGCTTCAAGGTCTCAACCCATCTAAAGCATGCGATCCAGATCAAATACCACCCTGGCTCCTCAAAATAACAGCTATTGAAATCACACCTGTGTTAGCCAATATTTTTCAACACTCGCTGAACACCGGAGAGATACCAAAGGACTGGAGGGATGCAAATATTTGCGCCATTCCCAAAAAGGGAGATAGAGCGGTCCCCAGCAACTACAGACCTGTTTCACTGACCTGCGTGTCCTGTAAACTGCTTGAACACATCATCCACAGCCAAGTGATGAAGCATTTAGAACGTCACAACATATTGAAGGACTACCAGCATGGGTTAAGAGCTAAGCGATCCACAGAAACACAACTCATACTAACAGTTAATGGCATAGCTGGTGCACTTAACAGTAAAAAGCAAGTAGATTTAGCGATACTTGAATTCACAAAAGCGTTCGACAAAGTTCCCCGTTGAAGTCTTATTTCAAAACTGCAGTATTATGGAATCCAAGGAACAACACTATAGCTAAATTGGCTAAAATATTTTCTAACCAACAGGGACCAAACAGTAGTGGTGAAAGGGAAGGCTTCGTCTCCAGTTAGAGTAGCGCCAGGAGTTTTGCAAGGAACTGACCTGGGACCATTGCTATTCCTCTTGTATATTAATGATCTACCAGATCAGCTTGATTTAAAGGTGATATTATTAATTGCCGATGACTGTCTGTTGTACGTAGAACTGTCTACACAGATTGGCTCACACATTTTACAAAAAGATTTGAACACGCTGGAAGAATGGCAAATCAAATGGCTCATGCAGTTTAACCCAGACAAATGCTACATTATGCATGTATCAAACAAACGAACCCCACATATAACTAGGTATCTGTTCTGTGGTCAAGCTTTGGCAACAACAAAAACCAATCCGTATCTCGGTGTTACATTGACAAGTAGCCTTAAGTGGGGCACGCATGTTAACAACATCACTGCGAAGGCCATAAAAACATTTGGAGTGATTAGGCGCAATCTGTGGTCATGTCCAACAAGGGTAAAATCACTTGCATACACGTCGCTTGTAAGACCAAACCTAGAATATGCCGCGACTGTATGGGATCCATATACAAAGAAAGACAAAGATAAACTGAAAAGGGTACAGAACCAAGCTGCAAGATTCTGCACGAACAACAATCAAAGGGGCGCTAGTGTAACGGAAATGAAAAGAAACCTACAGTGGGGGTCGCTGGAAGACAGGCGTAGAATGTCCAGACTGTGCATGATGTACAAAATGACTAATAAACTGGTGGACGCACTAAGTATCTAATACCAGCCCAGAAAAGAACAAGAATCAGTAATGCCTTCAAATGCCAGAGTTATCCACCAAAAATTGAGGTATTCAAAAACTCGTATTTGGCCAGAACTATGGTAGACTGGAACTCGTTGCCACCAAGCACAGTTGGGGCATCATCACTAGAAACAACTCCTGCAATCAAATGTGCAAAGATTGAGTGTAACAAGCCGTTCGGTGTGATATAGCTAGCTGCCGCCGCGCCGCGTTCCTGCGAAGCAGGTGTGTTACGCCGAAGGGTGGTTATACCGGCTATACCGATACAGATACAGAAACAACCCCGTCCCAATGTATATTGACCCTTATGGAGCAAAAATATGATGGAAAATGGTCCCTGGAAGGGCCGTGGGTTGATTTTTAGGGTACAACCCAGAAAATGAAGGACTCCCGGGGCTTGTTTCTGCAGTTTTAAATGCCCAAACTATGACATGCTGACTCAGATGTGATAATGTGTCAACATCACAAAGATTGCCTTATTCAGAATATTTCCAAATTTGCTGCCAGTGAAATCACCATGAATGCCTTTAACATAAAAGTAGTGTTGAGTAGGGCCCGTTCGGTTGTTTGCAAAGGCAACGTACTGGGGAGAACTGTTAAAATGTAATTGACTATCAAACTGAAAAGAAGTGCAGATGAAAATCATCAAATTATATGTAACTCGGTATTCAGCCATGTTTAACCTCAAACGGTTAGAAACATCAAAGTATAAAGTAATATAAACCCATCGACAAGCTTGTTCATAATGGCAACAGTATCCAAACAACCCCCATCTCCAGTACTGCTTTTTTTTAGATGTTTAACGGTTGCCCAAATTGCATCTTAGTAGCCCGATACTATTTGGAACTCCATTAGCAATGGAGAAAAAGAATGCCATAGCAACAGACAGCTGTGCCTATGCACCGCAAGAACATATCTCAGACAAATAAATCAAAGAATAAGACGCTTTTGAAAGTCTTAAGGCTGCTGTTTGTCCGAGAAAGATATAGGAGAAAATAATTTCTAAACGTACTACAGATGTAGGAAAAAGTACAAAACTACATGTTACGACTTGTTAATGTGTAATGCCGCACGGTATTCCAAGCTATATAGCTTAGCTTATACAGCAAGTTGTCATTGGGTCTTAAAATTCTAACACTATTTCAGAGAGAACATTAAATATACGTAAGGTGTTGATTGAAAAAGAAATACAGGTTGCCAAAATATGCTAAGGATTGGTTCCACAACACTACAGTACACTAGCGTTCTTCTACTTACCCCCTCGCAGACGTTTCTGCCAACCGTAGTCTGCTGTTCCCACCGACCGTCTCACTGTTAGATGAAATATCGTTCATGTATATAACAATTCCCTGTGTAAACACCAACGCCAATATTAATATCCATAAATGTGGATTTAGATCTTAAAGCAATTTATTATCCTTGTAGAACGGATGGGGAAAATGATTGCATTACAAATATTTTGTAAAAAGATGCCTGTGTCTATAGCCAACACTGAAAAACCACGTTTCCAAGAGTTTCCAGTCCCGCACACGCCCGTGAAATTCGCGTCCATGGATTTCCGGGCTCCGCGTGTACGGCCCCGGATATTTCCTTACACTCCCGGATTCGTGCTCGCCGTGCACGTGCACGGACATTTACGCCCCGCACACTTGGCATGTGTTGGGGAGCGGCTAACAATAAGGGGTAATTAGGTACTGCGTGTATTCATGTTTCAGGTGATAATTACTTGAACCAAAGTTGCCAGTACTTTAATCTAAGCAAATTAGATATAGAATGATCAAGGATTGTTAATACAACATTTGAACCTATGCGTCCTTCGCTTGATTTATCGTGATGTCGTCCATACGACAAAGCACATGTGAGCGTAGGGCGCCCCGACGCTGGGGTTATATAACCTACTTGGTCAAAATGACATAAATCTACACTCCGGTCTAAATCTGAATTTTTTTATTTATTTTGGAAATAATAGTTTATCCGTGAGGTTCATTACCATGATGTAATCAAACGCTTGACTAAAGGGGTTTGAACTAAGGTGACCTGATCAGTTTGTTATGATTTTTAGGTACATGTATGGGTAATAATATGCAAGCTTTACATTGTAGTTCGGTCGATGTGTATTGTGATGTGTCAGACATGGTGTCCATTTATGTGAATAGCCTTTGTGTAAACAAAGGGAGAACTCACAGCGTCCCCACGCCTGGTAAAATACTGAAATCCAGCAAAACAAGTCAACCCTCGTGACATTAATTGTGGATTTTGGATACATTTACAAACACTAAGGTTATGTTGGAGTTAAAGTGTGGTTTTATTTCACTCAGTGAGCGACAAGTTGTGTAATTCTAGAACGAATAAAGCCATGTAATCATGACGAATTAGAATTATGAAGATCATTTGTCTGCCTTGAAATAAATACATTTACACAATCAGAAACACCCTATCATCCAAGTGTTCAGACTGCACAGGCGATTTAACTTAAATCCTTTAATATAAAAACAAGATCGTTGTAGTATTGAATGCGATCACGTGATTATATGACTGACGACCAATCCTACCTCGCTCTCGCCGGGACCAGCCAATAAGAGACGCGATGCTTTGTTTTGGTGGGTCGTTTGAATCTTGCTTTGTCACAACGACGTCGACGGTTTGCTTTTTCAAAACACGTTTGTCTCGGCTTGCAAAGATTACTATTATGTTCCTGAACTTACTAAAATGGCGTCAAACATTCCGTTCTGTTACTTCGTTTTCGCAACGGAAGAAATGACTCTACTACACGGGCCGACAATTTGCCGACAACACCGCAACGAACCAAGAAACCGACAGGAGGAAGGGTGAGCTAAAACAAGGATACTATTATATATACGGCACTATCGTTACATATATCTTAAACATGTTGTTTAAAAACCTTGGCTAAGTTGTGCCTACGGCAGAAATATTTATTTTGGCAAGAAGTGTACACTATTTTTTTTACTGATTAATAACATAGTTTATTATTTCTACTTAGAAGTACATCGATATAGTTTGTATGTTGCTCAGAACATATGTATTTTTTTCAGGCGCGGATTTGGGATACTTTGAGACGATTTGAAGAAACTTTATCGCCAGGCTGTCTGAGAGCTCAGAAAAGAAAGAAAGAAAAGCGACTGCAGTCACACAGAGGAGGGTGAGTCTATGCAAATGTATATCTTTGCATACGAAAGCCGACAAGGCTCTTGACAATTTGAATTGTTTTTATTACCGAGGGAAATGTTGTGTTTGTATTGTTCCCATGATTACAATGAAAAGAAACAAGTAGACGTTGATGCTTGATGAATGGAGCCTTTTCATCTGGACAAAATTGTTGCTGTCTGACGAAAAAACATTCGTTAAAAAATGATAAATGACTTCTCCTCGAAATGTGTCCATACAGACGTCCGCATCTTTGCCAGGCTTGTTTATAAAACGTCTAGTACATGTACACGTAACTTCAAATGAAATTCAAAAATGCCTTCGACTTTTGACTTAGATTTTCGTTTTTCCATGTCCTGCAGGCCAGGCTGGAGGCAAACAGGCAGACTGCACACCCAGGCTCAGATCTAAAGGCGAGGGTGCTGTGTTAAAGCGCCCGGCAGGCTCCGACGACCCAGGCCGGCCCCGCTGCACTCCCGCCCGGGGTACCGGTGCACCCCGCGCCCAGCACGCCGCTCCGGCCTGACTGCGATCACAACCGACACCAACACCACGCCATCCCGCAGACAGACAGGGGGCAATTTGTCCTTCCAGGATGAAAACGTTTCGTTATGGTCCCCTGAAGCAAGGGGGTGGCATACCTCCTGGCCTGAAATCTACAACAAGCCTCATTTTGTAGAGGCGACAACGCAAACTTTACAAAACCGACAGCTTGTCTTTAACGACATTGTAAATTGAATACGTGTTCATGTAATTAATTTCTGAGCAAATGATCTTTTTTTGTAATGACGTGATATTGTTTTCTGCCAAGCCTAACTTAACTTCATGTTAGGTTTGCAATTATGTTTTTGCTACACGTACATGTATTTTGAAGAACTTTGTTTGAGGCCTTCTTTGTTCATTGAAAATTTAGTCTTTTGACTGTTTGTGTAAGCGCCATTCACTTTCATGATCTGAGGGCTATTTTCCTCTTTTAACCTGATGATATGTCAGTATTTGTTACTTTTTAACATTTTTTGCTAAAATGGACTTCTATTTGGAGGTGACTGTGATGAGATGTGATGTTAGTTTACTTTTTAAAGTTAGAGAAATCTGTTAATTACTAGTAATTTCTGAGTTTACACCGGGTCCAACGATTTTAAAAGTCTAGTCCCTGGAAGGCTAGTTCGGGAAAAAGCTATTGTTTCTATATTTCGGCTACACATTTTTGTAAAGTACCAGGTTACATTATTGTATAGTGTTATCATAGTGCGTAACGTGTATACACTATACATAGAGCGTTATTTTTGTTAGTCTGTAAATGGCGATCCTGTTTATACAGGTGCACGGCCATTTCCTGCCGTGTACGGGGATGTACAGGGATCGTGTCCGGGCATATAACGTCCAGTACACGACCTGCACACAAAAAGTGGTTCATTTCCGGGAGTGTACAGGACATGTACGGGACTGGACACGTTTCGTGTGCAGGACGGAAACCCCCGGGTTCTACCGGAAACCTAAAATATCCGGAAAAGTGTGCGGCAATTTCTCACACGGAAATTAGGGATTTTATGCGGTGCAAGGGCACTGCCTCCTCTCTATGAGGTCAGTAACATGATTACGCCCCACTACAGTATGAAAACTATCTTAAACGAATATTGGCAGATCAATTACATGGTGCATATTAAAGCTTTGCTAAAGATATTCTTAAACGTCAGCATGTTGTTGGGTATAAGAGTCCACCTATCAATTTACTATCATGTGTTATCAATCTTCTTTATATTGTATGTTTAAGCAACATACGAGCATAGAGCAAGTAAACATGTTCATATCCTATATACCGGTACTTCTTTTGGACCTAAGAAACTTGTACTTGAGGCAATATGGACCTTAAGCTGTTTTCAAAAGCATTGTTTTAACGCTTATTTGACGGCGTTAAACAGACGGTTTGCCATCATTGCTTCTATTTACTAACCTGTGTTATAAATATTCTTCACATTGTATGCATGAGGAACATACGAGCATCGATCAAATAAACATGTTCACGTCATTTATAGCAGTACTTCTTTTTGACCCTTGAGTAAGAAACTTGTACTTATGCGTATTTGGAAAGCTGTTAAAAGAACGGTAAGCAATCTAGCACTTCAGTTGTTTTCAAAAGCTTTGTTTTTAAATGGTAAGCCCGTTTGCTTCCTTGACCTTTTTATACGTATGTGTTCTTTATATTGTGTGTATCAGCAAAATACGATTGTTGAGAAAATAAACATGTTCACACCATATATTGCAGTACTTCCTTTGGGCAATTGAGTAAGAAGCTTTTACTTATGAGTATTTGGGAAGTTGTTGAAAGCACAGAAAATAATATGGCCATTCGACTGTTTTCAAAAGCTTTATTTTTAATGACAAGCCTGCCTTGTTGCTTGACTAGTACGACGCCCTTAGTAGCGATTATTTGTAGACTTTAAACAGCTGGTTTGCCATCATTGCTTCCTCCTTTTGACACCTTCCTAAATACTAACCAATTCTTAGTTTAATGTCAAATCCAGGTATTTTCAATGTTCTATCACATGTGCCGACTTGCTTTACTATCGTATTAACTCTATCTTATCTTAGTGACATTAATTATAGAATCTTGGTAACATTGATATAAGTATACTTTGTTTACATAGGGATACTCGTATTAAACGACGCACTGATATTCTACCTTGTAGCTAGACACTGTGCGGTGTTATCACCTATAACGAGATATCATTGTTGATATTTTATTCTACATAAATAATATTGGCGTTCTTGCAAGTTTTCAAACATAATGATTTTACAAATTTACTAAATGCGTTAGATAGAGCTGATAGTAGGCGTGTTTTTAAGTTTAGATACTTGCAATACAATAGTCTTGCAATTGCCAATGTACAGATAAATACTCCAGTGAGGATGTAAGTCCACAAAGCACACCACAATAATTGTTACGAGCATGCAACATGTAGTGAAGCTACTGTCGAATTAGAGGGTGACCTTGAATATTGTAATGATTCTTTACTTTGGTATCAATAACACACTCCTCTCCCGGGCAAGATATGACTGCAATTTTTTTTTTAAGATTGGAAGCATGGGGAGTCCAACATACCTCTCAGACGACTCAAAAGGGCTGTAAAGGTTGTCACTATAATTGTGCCTCAGGGATTTAAAAAAGAGCCTCAATTTTAAATATATGGGTACATAAGGGTAAAAACGACAAATATGCGTTTTTTTATATATTGACAAAAACTATACTTTAATTCAGAAGTGTAATCGCCCTTCAGCACCTTGGACTGA